TGCAAACCAGGGGAGGTAGATCGGTTTGGGCCTTGGACCGAAAAACCCCCCAAAGCAATGGGAGGGAATGCTCGCCCCCCCCCCCCCCGCCACACCAGGATGGTGCCAACAAGCTGCAGGTCATCGCGACGTTCGACCACTGCCTGACGGCGTTCCACGCCAAGGATGGCAAGACGCCCTGTCTCAAGACCACCGACGCCTTGGAGCAGGTGCAGAGCAACAACGGTGGTGTTGTTGTTGTTCTTGGTGGTGGTGGGTCGTGTCATTTCCTGGCTACGTGTGACGGGGTGCATTAACCTTGGCAGCCAGTATATGGTTGTGGTACAGCAGCCGTCCTTGCGTTAAGGACAACGAAATTGAGGACGCTATCTGCTCTTAGGACACCTTTTTTTGCCAGAAATCATGGTGCCCCGCAGAATGAAAAAACGAAAGGGGGGATTCTCATTATTGATACTGCCGTAGTCGTTAGACCATTGACCTCGCATCCCTACGTTTGCCGGGTTCTCGCCGGCCCAGGCTGCGTTTCACATTAAGGGGGTATGATAGTAAGAACACCCATGATGAGTGTCCTTACAGCGCGTACAACACACACTATTTTTGGTGCTGCTGTTTTGGCGGCGTGAGTGGCGAAGTTGTTTGTGTTACTGGTGGCGGTAGTTGTCGATCGTGGCGTCGGCATTTGCGGATAATTTTTTGGTGTTTGTCTTTTATTTCCTCCCCAGAAGTCTCGCTCTTCGGTCGGTTTCCGTTCTCGCTGGTGCGCTTGGGTACAACCGGCTGCTGTTTTCCGTCCGCCGCATCTCGTTGCTGTTAGCGTATCTCCAGCAAGTTCGTTTTCCGATCGACTGCAAGCGTGTGTATTTCTGGCATCGGTGCCCGTCCCGGTGTTCGTTGAGTTTGTGTCTCGATTTTGACAGGTGCCTTGTTGTCGATGTTTTTGCATGTGTTTTGTCCATCTATGCGGTTCTTTTTTTACTCTTGGCTTTTTGTGTGTGTGTGTGTTTTTTTTTCTTGTTTACTGGTGTGTGTGTGATTGCGGTTTTCAACATGTTTTTTTATTCTCTACCGATTTGTACATCCTGCTGTTGATTCCTTCCTCTTCGTGCGGCAGAACCAACACGTGATGCTACCCGAGGCCGCGAAAAAGGTGCGCTTCTTGCGGAGCGACTTCAAGAGGAGGATGGACGAGGGCGGGAAGACCATGACTCCAGACGAAAGGCAAGCTACCCAGGGCTTGGCCTGTAGGAAGGAAGCCTTTGGTGTTTGTTGGCGGGGGCAAAGTCGATCGCTCGACTCGCAGGCCATGGCGTGGCCCGTAGGAAGGTAGCCTTTGATGATTTATTGGGGGAAGAGGAAGATTGGCTCGCAGGCCAGGGCGTGGTCCTTCGGAAGAAAGCCTTTGATGGTTACTGGGAGAAGAGGATCGCTAGCGATCGCTCGGCTCGCAAGCTTAGAGCGTGACCCTTAGTAAAGAAGCCTTGGGTGTTTGTTGGGGGAAGAGGAACGTCAGCGATCGCTCGGCTCGCGGGCCGAACGGGGACGGCTGCTCCCGTGTCCATGGCGTACAGTCATGCGCTGGCACACCGTTTCTTCCCCCAACGTCTGATCCTACTTGCGGAATACGCCCCCCTTGGTTCTCTCTCAGCACCGTGTTGTGCCCGGCACAGACACATCTCTCATTGTTCTTATCAACGCCTTGTCTTATTCGTCGAACACGCCCTCTTGGTTATCTCTCAACACCGTGTTGTGCCCGGCACCGACACATCTCTCATTGTTCTTATCAACGCCTTGTCTTATTCGTCGAACACGCCCTCTTGGTTCTCTCTTAACACCGTGCTCGGTAACGACGCCTTTTTGTTTTCTCAGAGTCGCAGCACTCGAAGACAACCTTCGCAAGGTGTACAGTGTGGTGGCTATGGAGGGGGGCGTGCACATGAATTCGATCGGGCCCGCCATCGAGTCGCAGCTTGACGGCATTCCGCTCAGGTGCGTGGTGCCTTCTTCTCGAGCTATTGCTATCATGCACTGCGGTAGACCTGCGTGTGGAATTGTGGCACCATCTACGCAGCAGTCATGGCATGGCGCCTATGGATCCTGGTGGTGCTGGCGCTACTGCAGTAAACTGCTGTAGACCTGCGTTTGGAATCGTTGCATCATCTGCGCTGCAGCCATGCCATGACGTCCTGGTGCTACTGCCGGTGCTGGTGCTGGTGCTGCCGGTGCTGGTGCCGTTGGTTGTCGGTGCTACTCGCGCTTCCCTTTCTCCGTGTTTCTTGCCGCTCTTGCTTTCGATCTTAGCCGTGCTCGCCTCCCCCTGCCGCCCATGTCGTTTGTGGCGTTTCCGCCTCCTGTGTACATATCTTCGAAAGGTTTGTGCATCGTGTCGCATTCGCATCTCTCTCTCCTCCTTTTAACCGCGCCGTCTCTCGTCCCTCCCGGCTGTTACCCGCGTGTGTTGGCGATGATTCGTCGATGGACAGGGAGGGCGTAGACGATATGACGGCTGCGCTGGCGTGGAGGGCTATTCCCCTTACCATCTTCTGCGCGGGCTACGGAAACGTGGCGATGGAGGTGTTGCGGAGAGGATCTCCGAAGATCACGGGGCCGGGGGGCGTGTTCACCCCTCACCTACGATTGGTGGCCAACTTCTTCAGAGTGAGAGCGGAGAACTGTCGCGCTGCATTGCGTTTCTTTATTTTGTTGGCGTCGACCGCGCGAACCGGCTAACCAATGAAAACACGTCAGCGTCAGTGCGGCTGAAAATTGCAGAAAATGCTCCGAAAAGGCCATGATCTGGGACCCAACCCATGAGGAGCGGCATGGGGGACGCTAAGCTGCTCTCCAGATTAAAGACAGAAACGGTATTATAGCACATGCAGCAAACTGTGCGTGTCTATACTAAAACTGTGTGTGTGTTTCTTTTTTGAGCGTCTCGACATCGCTAACCGGCCGACCAACGAGAAGAACGCTCCAGTCTGCAAGAGGTTAAATAGTTTTTTTTTTTTCATCGACAACAAGTCGCTTTTTCTTTGTGCGAGGCTGAGGGAGGTTTCGTAAGCTTCCCTTCCCTTGGCGCCATGTTACCTGTCAGGCTTGCTGGTATCGCTGTTGCTGTTGACTCGCGTTGTTTCTGGTGTCCATGCTCTCTGTGCGCAGGCCGAGGAATTATGCGTGGTATGCCGCTCGGTTGTTTTTTTCCCGAAAAATCGCCTCGGAGGACTTCGGATTGTTTTTTCGGACGCAACGTCCCCTGGTACATGGCGACCGCCACTCCGCCCCCGCCTTTTTAAAGAAAAGTGTTCCTTTGACCGCCACGCCCGTCGTGTCCCTTACGGCATTTTCGAAGGAGACTACAAGGCAGCTTACAGTTCAAGAAAAACCGACCTGGACTCCCCCCAATACTGTCCCTTTCCCTTCCCAACGTTTTCTCTCCGTCGCCGACGTCTCGACCATTTTTTTTTTTTTCGTGTGTCGCGTATAGCCGGACGACACCATGACCATAATCGGGATGTACGACACGGTGCCCCTGATCCACGAGGCCAAGAAGTCCGGCGCGACGTTGCTGGAGTTCCTCCGAGGCGTTCGTCAGGAGAATGCCTTCTCCGCACGGTCGAACGTGCTTCTGCTGGGAGCGGAGCTGTCCGATATCGGCCTCGGCAATGGCGAGTGCTCTCTGTTCTTGGTTACCAAAACAACAAGTGTTGTTGTTGTTGTTGTTGTTGTTTGCACATACGAAGCGATGGATTTGGGCGTTGTTGCACTTACTGAGCAATTGTTGCATTCTTGTCCAAACAAGCCTGTAGTAGCCGCACGGCGATGAGGCACAACACGCCCCTACCCACACACACCGCCCGTTCGATAGTTTAGATAACATGACGTTGGCCATCAACATCAAAACAGGATCATTGCATGATACACAAACATCACCTGTGGAGCTTGAGACTTATGATGCCCCCTCCGTATCGTTTGACCTTTTTACGCTCTTGCATGTACCATAGAGATTGCCGTGCGCGGACGGCTGCTTCCCCAATTGAATCGATTTTTTTTTCCGTTTCTCTGTTGTGTCTCGATCCGATGGCTTCACGAACGGAGAAGTGTGGAATTGGGGGAAAATACAGGTTGTGACGTTTAGAAGCCGATATCAAACCAATTTTGAGAAGCCAGCGGTGAATAATCTAATGGTTTTATATCGACTTCTACAACAGTTTGTCGCGGGGTTCGACCTCACCCCCCCTCCTGCACCGCCGCCGTCCCGCGGCGAAATACGTATCACATCACATCGTTCAGGTTTGCCCGGCGTGGAAGAGCGGATTACGGTGGGATTCCTCAAGCTGGACGGGCACGTGCTCGACAAGCTGCCGCGCTACGCCCAGGCGTACGACGTGGTGATCCTGGGGGATGGGGACATGTCCTACGCCAACGAGATCCTCCACGAGGTCGTCGGGTAGACAAGCGGGGGAGAGAGGCCCCACCGGCGTGGATCTCTCCCATCATCTAGGCGGCTACCGATGATAGCTTTCGTCCGGTTGGGAGGGGCGAGAGAGAGAGAGAGAGACCCTACGAGCGTAGATCTCTCCCATCATCTACGCCACCGATTTTTTTGGGTCGGATTGGGAGGGAGAGAGAGAGAGGCCCTACGGGCGTGTAGATCTCTCCGATCGTCTAGGCGGCTACCGAGACCTTTTGTCGGAAAGATAGAGCTACTCGTACGGAATCAACGCCACCCAAACCCATACCCGCCACCCCCAATGCGATGCTTAAGCTCAAGCGATTAACTGCCACGCGTTGGACTATTCAGCCTGAGTAGTAGCAGTTGTGGTCAAGAGGAGGGGGGCGTATTCGGTACACCGACGATGTTGGGCATCACATGCGTTAGTTAGGTCGTGCGGGGCTCCCGCGGAAGCGGTAGCCATCTGAAGTTTAGATGGGCACATGAGTTTGGTGGCTAAAATTGTTTCGCGTGTCTGGCGTTTCAGCTGTAGGTAGGTTACGAAACGTGGACCAGTTGCGTCGTTGTTGGAGCGGTGACGGTGGCTGCAGTTTGAGAAGCATGTCTGTGCGTATGCTGGCGTTGTCATTTTTCTCTCTGGTTTTCAATTATGACTCTGTATGATACCCATACACTCCCCAACTTCTTGATGGCAGCCTTCGGGCCGGCCGCTGTCTGTTCGCACGCGAAAGGACTAATACCCCTGTCGATTTGAACAAACCCGCCGTGGAGTAGATGATGTTATCTCTTACTTGGAATCCGAGCACATGGGAGCGTGTTGGTAGACTGCCGAAAACATTTTTTTTCGGTGTGGAAGTGTGGACGGGGGCCACAAGTTGGGGGGGAGGGGCGGGATGTGAGTTAGTTTTGTGTAGGATAAATTAGCTGGAAAACACACGATTTCAGGCAGAAGCAGTCACCCGTGTTTTGGGAGGGGGTGGATCGGTAAATCTGGAAAGGTGGTTTTTATGCGAAGGAGGGAAATACAACTGTTTTTTAAACGATTGCCTTGGGCCACTCTTTTCTCGTGTGACGTGGTCGCGCTTATATTGCGGCAGCGTGCAAGAAGAGTATGCTGTAGCTCCTCTCGCTGACGTGTAGCACCCAAGCTGCCGCAAGGGGAT